TGTGTAGTGAGATGTGAATGTGTCTCGTGCCTTCTGAGTGACATCTCTATCGAATTATTAATTATGCTAGTGCCATTACGACAACCACTAGACGTGGAAGAGGCAGTATTGTGATTAGTAAGAGCTGAATGTTTTTCTCTGCAACGTAATTCCCCTGGCATCATCATGTCATCCTTTAACAGAGACTTTGCGTTTCCAGGAACTGAATTATTTCGCATAGTAAAAAGGTATTCGAGATTTTTTACTCTGATCAGGTGCTTCATCACATGGGAAGTTAGCACAGTAAACATTTTCATCCCTTTATTTAAATATGACTGAATGTGTACATTCCTTCCCTTATTAATTTACTTTGTGTTCATTGATCACGATGGGGTTAGTTAAATTCTTTTTAAATATTGCGTTTTCCTAAACGCAGTCAAGTTCAAAAAACGTCAGGCCACACTGTGTAATTACACCGTGAAAAAAATTCACATTTATAACTGATAGCTGGTGATCTTACGCATGTCTTTGTAACAGTAAGAAATTAAGGCGTAGTTCTAAAAATGCTTATCAATATGGTTATTCTGATAGCTTTAGTGATCCAGTCAAAATCTGTGATGGTGAAAAAATGAACAACTAATAAAATATTACGACCTCTAAAGTGATTCTAGTGTCGAAAGGTCACTTCCAACTTGTAAAACCTCTAGCTGCGACATGTGAACAATATTCCCAGGTTAAGCCATCCGCTGTGAGTAAACTGGTGAAACACTTAATGTTTAATGAAAAATGTCGTAGGCGAATCAGTTTGTTAAATAATTTAACTTCCATAAAAATTGCTGTGCTTTGCGGAGTAGATCGAAATAAATATATCCATAATTAAGCAGTTTAAAAACTATGATAAGCTTCTTGATTTGACCATGTTTCCAGTGAAATTATGAAAAAAAATCAAAACGTATTTCTGTAGGAACTATTGAAAAAAACTTAAAAATAAATATTTCATCGGCAAATAACATTAGACTTAATAAACTCAAACAGTGACCCTCATAACTAAACACGCAGACTAATTCACGAAAATCTAAAACTTGGACAACGAAAGGATGGCTATCCTATACATGAAAATGCCAAACAACCATAAACATACGATTATACAGCTTGATAATGACTTCGTTGGAAAGAGTCCATTCCATGAATACAATAAGCGCTAGGAATGCCTCCCCATTCATTAACACTCCTTCTTATGTAAAATAGATTCAAGATAGTTGTAATGTGAATCAGTGAAAGTATTTTTACATTCTCACTTACTAGAAGACTAATTAGACTGACAGGAATGCACTGAATGCTGAATGAGTAAGGGACACACGCAACTGACTATGAAAAGCACTTAGAAGAGAAAAACAAACACAAAAACTCCAGCATAACAGTCAAACAAATAAACAAAGAAACATTAACCTGACAAGAGTAGCAGAGGATCACCTCACTATCGCATTCCTTGCATAACTTAATTTAGAGAAAAGAAGCATCACTTATTTAAAGATAATTAAATAAGAATAATTTTATAATATGCAACACAAAAGATACCACAGAATAAACGTCATGTTTTTTATGCTGTCGTTTTCTCTGGTATGCGTTTCTGTTTGTAGTCGGAGAGTTACTTAAGGAGGGGAAATTGATCTGTGCAGTTGTGAAACTGCATCAATTGAGATAGTCAGAATTCATTCTAGATTTTTCATGATACTTTTTTATCCTGTCACATTGAATTGGAAGAGGCTTGAGATGTATTTGGACCGTAATGTTGCACCAATCTTTGCACAGTTTGACTGTTCTGTTTGTGTTATGCAGTTAGTTGATTCTGCATGACTACGCTTCTTATCATTTCACTTCTATCTGATCATCGACTTTCAAAGAATGTTTCTGAATCCGGCCAGGATTTTCAATATTTCAAGTGGATGGGCAAAGCTTGTTCAATAGATCACTTTGTTGTTGTGTTAATGCCTGCTGAGCAATTCCTCACGCTGTTTATTGATGTCTGATCAGTGGCTGATGATTGAATTCTTACGGCATGTAATCGCATCTCAATAAACTTTTGAGACATACCTTGTTTTCTACGGATTTCACGTTTTGTATCGGTGATCTTTTACTCTGACAATGTTCATACACTGAATGTTCTGTTCGTTACAGATATTCTTAGGTTTTCTGCAGGTGCTGTATTTTTATTTTTTCGCCCATAGTACTTACTTGGCTATTTTTTGAGGTCAGGCGCACGCCACAACTAATCTCACCTTATCACTTTATCCTGATATTTCGGAGATCAAACTGTTGATTATTATTTTCCCGCACTCTTGTCTCCATCTTCATCAATTGTCATTTCATGCTGTCTCAGTTTTGTTCAGCAACGATTCTCCCTGGATGCTATCAGAATCCTGACTGGTATTCAATGAATATTTTTCCCAAGCACACAGAAATCATGATCTCAATTGACAGGTTTATGCAGTATTCAGTAGCTTATAAATCTTGCCTTCCTCAGTCTTTGAGATGAATACTATTAGAAGAATGTGGTTCTGAATATATTTAGTCAAAACAGTGATTATCATGTCATGAATCAAATCGATGATTTGTGGAAATCTTAATATATGATCTGTGTTCAAGTCCTGTCCTAAATGATAGACCGAATTTCAATTAGTCTCTTGTTTGCGGATTCTTATTTGTATTAGGTTATTGAGCGTCATCAACGTTATGGATGATGATGTTTTATAAGGCCTATATAGTTACATAGAAGTGAAAACTGCTATCTATATCTGCGACAATGTGAAAACATTCTATTACAAAATAACAGCAAATGTGTAGCAGAAATTCTGACGAAATATAGCATTTCATTACTGCATACGTCCTTTCACTGGCTTGCTGAAATTATTAGCTGTTGCAAATAGAAATCAATGATACACAGATTTGAGCTTGTTTCCGATCGTTCCGAGCAGAAGATCATGCGAATGAGGGATGTGCGACAATAAAGAAACTTGAGTCCACATATAGATTATGGCTGATAGTACGACGAAGTGGAGATACGCTTTTGAATTCCTGTTTTATACGCGTAAGTCAAAGGAACAATGACATGATAATTCTTTCACCTTATAACGTTATAATGTCTTCCCTATTAGCTTCTTAGATATTTATATGTCTTATCAAACTGCACAAACTTTCTTGAGTCAATACATTAGACAATTCAAATTCATCGCCTTTTCTAATTTTTTTGTGAAAATTCATAAACGCAACAAAATTGTTTCAGATTGTATTTAATCTAATGTTAGATTTTGTCACCGATTGACGTTATTTATAGAATCATTGAAAACTATGGGACCCGCGGTAAAAGTCGTTCTAGGGACTGTAGCTAAGGATTTGACTGCCTACTGAAGTCACCAAATATCAGTGAATTACTTCTTGTATATCTTGTTGATCGAAAGGAATCTGCCTACAAGCCGCTATAAATGCAACACCTCATATCTGTGTTTAGATATAAAACATGACGTTCAAAGTTATGCATTTATTTGTTAGAACCTTTTGTTATTGTATTAATAGAAATTCTAATAAATTACTTATTCACTCTCAGACAACGTTAAATTTATGCACTATGTGTAATTATCTAATTGCTGTTTTAAATGATCGCTTCCACGCTAACTGTGAGACAATTTTGTGAAATATTTCTGATTCAGTAATACTTACTGGTCAATTCACTATTTACACTGTGAGTCAATTTTCGTAATTCACCTCAGTAGAATACAGAAGTTATAGCCTAGATAAAACAGCCTATGGAATAGAGTGAAATGAACACATATAATGAGCCAAATATTAATGAAATTAAATCCCTATTGAACCTATATTTTTCAGCAGATCGATTGTATATCGCAAATTTGAAGTGAAGTGATTGTCGTGTGTATAAAACAGAACAAAAATTTACTATTTTCAAGTTTGATGATGGATTGATATAAGTCAGAGAAGTAGTGAAAGAACAACAAGCAGTATTGAACAGCTATTGCTTCAGGCTAGCTCTGGACTCTTCGGAAGCACGAAACCACTGGGTGTTTGAGTGCGGTAATTTCCGACTGCATGGGAAGCAGGTGGTCCATTCAGCCATTGAAACCCGACTCAATCAGTAAGTCCATGAATTCTACTACTACTAATTGGTGATTTCAGCGTGACTGACACCAGCCAATGTGATTCCCAGAGTGTATTGCTTTCACTTCCGAGTGAGTTGACTCCAATTATAAAGAGTTATCACCAGAAATCACACCATGAGAATGGAAAATTCAGGTTGTAATCATTGAAAGTTCGAATAATTTACAAGAGATAGTGTGTGAGAATTTGACTTGCCTGATGATTAACCACGGATTGATATCAATCAGCGAAATACTGCTAACCGAAATCGACTGTATAAATTCATAGGAAATTGTGCCAAATTCAACAATTGGTAGAATTTTGAATTCTTGAATTGGTCATTAAATCAAGTCTTTGTGGCTGAATGGTGAACAAGTTTACCATGTTACCGGAAGATTCTAGGTCCCAATTCAAATGGGTGAGTACTTCTCATGAGTCCAAAAAACTAAGGAAGGGAAAGATATCCAGTACTCCTTGGTGTTTTCAGTGATCCACTAACTATAATTTATCCATGTTGAAACTTGAAGAAAGTCAGAATACTCCCCACAGACTAACTCTTGAAAAATCTACTAAATTCTAAATAGGTATCAGTCTAATTTGTGACAAAGGATTGGTTGATTCGCCTTCACATTGAGTATTACCATAAACAGCAACACTGGCCGTAAATCAGTATACTGTTGTTTTTTGTTTCTTAAAATAGTGTTCTATTGACTGATTTTATATGCTATGGAGTCTGATGTGTTAGTTGCTAAATATAGCTGCATCTTTAGGTGTGTGACCTCAGAAAAATGAAATACACATTTGCACACCATAAAAATACATATTGTGTGTTCATTAATAACTATAAAAAGGTAATATGTGAGATACTCAGGTATACAGTTAGTTTGCATTAGACAATTCTTGCAACATACACTGTTGAGGGAATTCGAAACATGAGGAATATACTACTGACGGCATCACTTTGCCTTCTACTCCTTTTATCAAATAACAATGCAATTAGTGAAAGTAAGTCGATCGTTAATCCTTTTTTATAACTTATCAAATTATTATGCTTTTCCTTTTTGTAGTTTTATTTTTTGATCAAAACCTCAAGTTTATTTATAATAGTTAATTACTTATCACTATAATTATTTACAGATGAATTTCAGTTTTTGATTTAGTTATGAATATAAATAAGAGAGAGAGTCGTTGATCATCTGAACGGATGTTTCGGTCTTGTGCGAATACCCGTGAAGGTATGGGTTGATAGGAGGATTATATTAGCGGATTGACTGAAGTAAGATTGCCTGAGCTGGGTGATTCCAAGCCAGTGATTGAATGATTAACGCTCCGGTCTTATAATCTGAAAGGTGAGATATCCAGTTAATTCATAGGTGAATATTGTTGAAAAGTCCTATACTATGAAGAAATATATGCGGAGATGTTAGTGCTGCACTCAAATTGATCAAAAATCACAAATGTACGAACTGAAATCCGAATATTTCAGTTAAGCTTAGAACTATTTCACTCAGTCTAAATAAATTTCATGAATATCTAGAAATTCATATTTGGAAGAGTTCGACTTGCTCTTTTACAGCGGAGTAAATTCAATTCGACCTCATCATCTAAATACGTAGTTAAGCATTTCGTGTTCAATAGACTTTCCGAAATCATCTTCATTTACAATACAATTGTGAATACCGAATCATAATCTAGAGACAGGGAATATCAATCTAAAACAAATTAACAGAAAGTATTGTGAAATTTAATAGTATTTACTGTAATTTAATTGACTTTATAGTATTCAAGTAAAACTCCAAATTATGAGTAAAGTCAGAATTTTTTAATTCTCGACAGATGAAAGAGTTCTTGGTTGGTAGAATTATTCACATATGCGGAACAACAGGCGAGACTGTTTTACAGGTGAAGTTCAGATAGATAAATCGAAAAGTTAAGCAGTGACATAAATAAACAGTTAAGTGGATAAAAGAGCCGCGAAAACACAAGAAGAAGAAATCAAGAAAGGTCGAGCATCAGACTAGCAACAAAATACTGCAAATAAACACTGATAAAGAAAACACAAGACCATGGACTCAAGCATTAGGTTTCATATCAAATATCTACACCTCTACCAGCCTGTATCTCCCTTTTTTCTGTCTCACTGCTTCACTCTCTCTCCCTCTCTCCCTCCACAGAAACGCAACCCGTCACAACTATGTCAGAAACCACTGAGTCCAATGGCCGTCATCTACGATCGACTACCACGCCTCATTTCAAGTCGACAACACCAGGTGAGTGAGTTCATTATTCACTCAATATTCGCCCTCTCCACTCCTATCAATCCACCAGCCCAGTGTTCATAATCTATGCAGTATTGTGCGTCAACCACCATCCACTTTACTCGGCCTACTACACAAACAAACACAAAAGCCTACAAACGAACAGACAAACAACACCGATAATCATAACCAAATAATTAACCAACTCACCAGACAACTAGCAATGACAGCCAACTCAAATTCACGCAAACACTGCGAAATTGCTGAATTCAAATGATGAAAATGCTCGCGGAGACACACTTGAACCGACACAATACACCACATCACAACACACGGCCACACAAAACACAACAACCCAACAATGCACAAAACAACACAATATAACACATTCACTGAAAATCCTCAGTCAACATCACTCATCATTCAGCCGTGATAATGTTGCTAACCCCTTCCACCAATTGTACATCACCCACATCAATATGTTCTCCTCTACCAGTCTGTATCTCCCTTTTTTCTGTCTCACTGCTTCACTCTCTCTCCCTCTCTCCCTCCACAGAAACGCAACCCGTCACAACTATGTCAGAAACCACTGAGTCCAATGGCCGTCATCTACGATCGACTACCACGCCTCATTTCAAGTCGACAACACCAGGTGAGTGAGTTCATTATTCACTCAATATTCGCCCTCTCCACTCCTATCAATCCACCAGCCCAGTGTTCATAATCTATGCAGTATTGTGCGTCAACCACCATCCACTTTACTCGGCCTACTACACAAACAAACACAAAAGCCTACAAACGAACAGACAAACAACACCGATAATCATAACCAAATAATTAACCAACTCACCAGACAACTAGCAATGACAGCCAACTCAAATTCACGCAAACACTGCGAAATTGCTGAATTCAAATGATGAAAATGCTCGCGGAGACACACTTGAACCGACACAATACACCACATCACAACACACGGCCACACAAAACACAACAACCCAACAATGCACAAAACAACACAATATAACACATTCACTGAAAATCCTCAGTCAACATCACTCATCATTCAGCCGTGATAATGTTGCTAACCCCTTCCACCAATTGTACATCACCCACATCAATATGTTCTCCTCTACCAGTCTGTATCTCCCTTTTTTGTGTCTCACTGCTTCACTCTCTCTCCCTCTCTCCCTCCACAGAAACGCAACCCGTCACAACTATGTCAGAAACCACTGAGTCCAATGGCCGTCATCTACGATCGACTACCACGCCTCATTTCAAGTCGACAACACCAGGTGAGTGAGTTCATTATTCACTCAATATTCGCCCTCTCCACTCCTATCAATCCACCAGCCCAGTGTTCATAATCTATGCAGTATTGTGCGTCAACCACCATCCACTTTACTCGGCCTACTACACAAACAAACACAAAAGCCTACAAACGAACAGACAAACAACACCGATAATCATAACCAAATAATTAACCAACTCACCAGACAACTAGCAATGACAGCCAACTCAAATTCACGCAAACACTGCGAAATCGCTGAATTCAAATGATGAAAATGCTCGCGGAGACACACTTGAACTGACACAATACACCACATCACAACACACGGCCACACAAAACACAACAACCCAACAATGCACAAAACAACACAATATAACACATTCACTGAAAATCCTCAGTCAACATCACTCATCATTCAGCCGTGATAATGTTGCTAACCCCTTCCACCAATTGTACATCACCCACATCAATATGTTCTCCTCTACCAGTCTGTATCTCCCTATTTTCTGTCTCACTGCTTCACTCTCTCTCCCTCTCTCCCTCCACAGAAACGCAACCCGTCACAACTATGTCAGAAACCACTGAGTCCAATGGCCGTCATCTACGATCGACTACCACGCCTCATTTCAAGTCGACAACACCAGGTGAGTGAGTTCATTATTCACTCAATATTCGCCCTCTCCACTCCTATCAATCCACCAGCCCAGTGTTCATAATCTATGCAGTATTGTGCGTCAACCACCATCCACTTTACTCGGCCTACTACACAAACAAACACAAAAGCCTACAAACGAACAGACAAACAACACCGATAATCATAACCAAATAATTAACCAACTCACCAGACAACTAGCAATGACAGCCAACTCAAATTCACGCAAACACTGCGAAATCGCTGAATTCAAATGATGAAAATGCTCGCGGAGACACACTTGAACCGACACAATACACCACATCACAACACACGGCCACACAAAACACAACAACCCAACAATGCACAAAACAACACAATATAACACATTCACTGAAAATCCTCAGTCAACATCACTCATCATTCAGCCGTGATAATGTTGCTAACCCCTTCCACCAATTGTACATCACCCACATCAATATGTTCTCCTCTACCAGTCTGTATCTCCCTTTTTTCTGTCTCACTGCTTCACTCTCTCTCCCTCTCTCCCTCCACAGAAACGCAACCCGTCACAACTATGTCAGAAACCACTGAGTCCAATGGCCGTCATCTACGATCGACTACCACGCCTCATTTCAAGTCGACAACACCAGGTGAGTGAGTTCATTATTCACTCAATATTCGCCCTCTCCACTCCTATCAATCCACCAGCCCAGTGTTCATAATCTATGCAGTATTGTGCGTCAACCACCATCCACTTTACTCGGCCTACTACACAAACAAACACAAAAGCCTACAAACGAACAGACAAACAACACCGATAATCATAACCAAATAATTAACCAACTCACCAGACAACTAGCAATGACAGCCAACTCAAATTCACGCAAACACTGCGAAATCGCTGAATTCAAATGATGAAAATGCTCGCGGAGACACACTTGAACTGACACAATACACCACATCACAACACACGGCCACACAAAACACAACAACCCAACAATGCACAAAACAACACAATATAACACATTCACTGAAAATCCTCAGTCAACATCACTCATCATTCAGCCGTGATAATGTTGCTAACCCCTTCCACCAATTGTACATCACCCACATCAATATGTTCTCCTCTACCAGTCTGTATCTCCCTTTTTTGTGTCTCACTGCTTCACTCTCTCTCCCTCTCTCCCTCCACAGAAACGCAACCCGTCACAACTATGTCAGAAACCACTGAGTCCAATGGCCGTCATCTACGATCGACTACCACGCCTCATTTCAAGTCGACAACACCAGGTGAGTGAGTTCATTATTCACTCAATATTCGCCCTCTCCACTCCTATCAATCCACCAGCCCAGTGTTCATAATCTATGCAGTATTGTGCGTCAACCACCATCCACTTTACTCGGCCTACTACACAAACAAACACAAAAGCCTACAAACGAACAGACAAACAACACCGATAATCATAACCAAATAATTAACCAACTCACCAGACAACTAGCAATGACAGCCAACTCAAATTCACGCAAACACTGCGAAATCGCTGAATTCAAATGATGAAAATGCTCGCGGAGACACACTTGAACCGACACAATACACCACATCACAACACACGGCCACACAAAACACAACAACCCAACAATGCACAAAACAACACAATATAACACATTCACTGAAAATCCTCAGTCAACATCACTCATCATTCAGCCGTGATAATGTTGCTAACCCCTTCCACCAATTGTACATCACCCACATCAATATGTTCTCCTCTACCAGTCTGTATCTCCCTTTTTTCTGTCTCACTGCTTCACTCTCTCTCCCTCTCTCCCTCCACAGAAACGCAACCCGTCACAACTATGTCAGAAACCACTGAGTCCAATGGCCGTCATCTACGATCGACTACCACGCCTCATTTCAAGTCGACAACACCAGGTGAGTGAGTTCATTATTCACTCAATATTCGCCCTCTCCACTCCTATCAATCCACCAGCCCAGTGTTCATAATCTATGCAGTATTGTGCGTCAACCACCATCCACTTTACTCGGCCTACTACACAAACAAACACAAAAGCCTACAAACGAACAGACAAACAACACCGATAATCATAACCAAATAATTAACCAACTCACCAGACAACTAGCAATGACAGCCAACTCAAATTCACGCAAACACTGCGAAATCGCTGAATTCAAATGATGAAAATGCTCGCGGAGACACACTTGAACTGACACAATACACCACATCACAACACACGGCCACACAAAACACAACAACCCAACAATGCACAAAACAACACAATATAACACATTCACTGAAAATCCTCAGTCAACATCACTCATCATTCAGCCGTGATAATGTTGCTAACCCCTTCCACCAATTGTACATCACCCACATCAATATGTTCTCCTCTACCAGTCTGTATCTCCCTTTTTTGTGTCTCACTGCTTCACTCTCTCTCCCTCTCTCCCTCCACAGAAACGCAACCCGTCACAACTATGTCAGAAACCACTGAGTCCAATGGCCGTCATCTACGATCGACTACCACGCCTCATTTCAAGTCGACAACACCAGGTGAGTGAGTTCATTATTCACTCAATATTCGCCCTCTCCACTCCTATCAATCCACCAGCCCAGTGTTCATAATCTATGCAGTATTGTGCGTCAACCACCATCCACTTTACTCGGCCTACTACACAAACAAACACAAAAGCCTACAAACGAACAGACAAACAACACCGATAATCATAACCAAATAATTAACCAACTCACCAGACAACTAGCAATGACAGCCAACTCAAATTCACGCAAACACTGCGAAATTGCTGAATTCAAATGATGAAAATGCTCGCGGAGACACACTTGAACCGACACAATACACCACATCACAACACACGGCCACACAAAACACAACAACCCAACAATGCACAAAACAACACAATATAACACATTCACTGAAAATCCTCAGTCAACATCACTCATCATTCAGCCGTGATAATGTTGCTAACCCCTTCCACCAATTGTACATCACCCACATCAATATGTTCTCCTCTACCAGTCTGTATCTCCCTTTTTTGTGTCTCACTGCTTCACTCTCTCTCCCTCTCTCCCTCCACAGAAACGCAACCCGTCACAACTATGTCAGAAACCACTGAGTCCAATGGCCGTCATCTACGATCGACTACCACGCCTCATTTCAAGTCGACAACACCAGGTGAGTGAGTTCATTATTCACTCAATATTCGCCCTCTCCACTCCTATCAATCCACCAGCCCAGTGTTCATAATCTATGCAGTATTGTGCGTCAACCACCATCCACTTTACTCGGCCTACTACACAAACAAACACAAAAGTCTACAAACGAACAGACAAACAACACCGATAATCATAACCAAATAATTAACCAACTCACCAGACAACTAGCAATGACAGCCAACTCAAATTCACGCAAACACTGCGAAATCGCTGAATTCAAATGATGAAAATGCTCGCGGAGACACACTTGAACTGACACAATACACCACATCACAACACACGGCCACACAAAACACAACAACCCAACAATGCACAAAACAACACAATATAACACATTCACTGAAAATCCTCAGTCAACATCACTCATCATTCAGCCGTGATAATGTTGCTAACCCCTTCCACCAATTGTACATCACCCACATCAATATGTTCTCCTCTACCAGTCTGTATCTCCCTTTTTTGTGTCTCACTGCTTCACTCTCTCTCCCTCTCTCCCTCCACAGAAACGCAACCCGTCACAACTATGTCAGAAACCACTGAGTCCAATGGCCGTCATCTACGATCGACTACCACGCCTCATTTCAAGTCGACAACACCAGGTGAGTGAGTTCATTATTCACTCAATATTCGCCCTCTCCACTCCTATCAATCCACCAGCCCAGTGTTCATAATCTATGCAGTATTGTGCGTCAACCACCATCCACTTTACTCGGCCTACTACACAAACAAACACAAAAGCCTACAAACGAACAGACAAACAACACCGATAATCATAACCAAATAATTAACCAACTCACCAGACAACTAGCAATGACAGCCAACTCAAATTCACGCAAACACTGCGAAATCGCTGAATTCAAATGATGAAAATGCTCGCGGAGACACACTTGAACTGACACAATACACCACATCACAACACACGGCCACACAAAACACAACAACCCAACAATGCACAAAACAACACAATATAACACATTCACTGAAAATCCTCAGTCAACATCACTCATCATTCAGCCGTGATAATGTTGCTAACCCCTTCCACCAATTGTACATCACCCACATCAATATGTTCTCCTCTACCAGTCTGTATCTCCCTTTTTTCTGTCTCACTGCTTCACTCTCTCTCCCTCTCTCCCTCCACAGAAACGCAACCCGTCACAACTATGTCAGAAACCACTGAGTCCAATGGCCGTCATCTACGATCGACTACCACGCCTCATTTCAAGTCGACAACACCAGGTGAGTGAGTTCATTATTCACTCAATATTCGCCCTCTCCACTCCTATCAATCCACCAGCCCAGTGTTCATAATCTATGCAGTATTGTGCGTCAACCACCATCCACTTTACTCGGCCTACTACACAAACAAACACAAAAGCCTACAAACGAACAGACAAACAACACCGATAATCATAACCAAATAATTAACCAACTCACCAGACAACTAGCAATGACAGCCAACTCAAATTCACGCAAACACTGCGAAATCGCTGAATTCAAATGATGAAAATGCTCGCGGAGACACACTTGAACTGACACAATACACCACATCACAACACACGGCCACACAAAACACAACAACCCAACAATGCACAAAACAACACAATATAACACATTCACTGAAAATCCTCAGTCAACATCACTCATCATTCAGCCGTGATAATGTTGCTAACCCCTTCCACCAATTGTACATCACCCACATCAATATGTTCTCCTCTACCAGTCTGTATCTCCCTTTTTTGTGTCTCACTGCTTCACTCTCTCTCCCTCTCTCCCTCCACAGAAACGCAACCCGTCACAACTATGTCAGAAACCACTGAGTCCAATGGCCGTCATCTACGATCGACTACCACGCCTCATTTCAAGTCGACAACACCAGGTGAGTGAGTTCATTATTCACTCAATATTCGCCCTCTCCACTCCTATCAATCCACCAGCCCAGTGTTCATAATCTATGCAGTATTGTGCGTCAACCACCATCCACTTTACTCGGCCTACTACACAAACAAACACAAAAGCCTACAAACGAACAGACAAACAACACCGATAATCATAACCAAATAATTAACCAACTCACCAGACAACTAGCAATGACAGCCAACTCAAATTCACGCAAACACTGCGAAATTGCTGAATTCAAATGATGAAAATGCTCGCGGAGACACACTTGAACTGACACAATACACCACATCACAACACACGGCCACACAAAACACAACAACCCAACAATGCACAAAACAACACAATATAACACATTCACTGAAAATCCTCAGTCAACATCACTCATCATTCAGCCGTGATAATGTTGCTAACCCCTTCCACCAATTGTACATCACCCACATCAATATGTTCTCCTCTACCAGTCTGTATCTCCCTTTTTTGTGTCTCACTGCTTCACTCTCTCTCCCTCTCTCCCTCCACAGAAACGCAACCCGTCACAACTATGTCAGAAACCACTGAGTCCAATGGCCGTCATCTACGATCGACTACCACGCCTCATTTCAAGTCGACAACACCAGGTGAGTGAGTTCATTATTCACTCAATATTCGCCCTCTCCACTCCTATCAATCCACCAGCCCAGTGTTCATAATCTATGCAGTATTGTGCGTCAACCACCATCCACTTTACTCGGCCTACTACACAAACAAACACAAAAGCCTACAAACGAACAGACAAACAACACCGATAATCATAACCAAATAATTAACCAACTCACCAGACAACTAGCAATGACAGCCAACTCAAATTCACGCAAACACTGCGAAATTGCTGAATTCAAATGATGAAAATGCTCGCGGAGACACACTTGAACCGACACAATACACCACATCACAACACACGGCCACACAAAACACAACAACCCAACAATGCACAAAACAACACAATATAACACATTCACTGAAAATCCTCAGTCAACATCACTCATCATTCAGCCGTGATAATGTTGCTAACCCCTTCCACCAATTGTACATCACCCACATCAATATGTTCTCCTCTACCAGTCTGTATCTCCCTTTTTTGTGTCTCACTGCTTCACTCTCTCTCCCTCTCTCCCTCCACAGAAACGCAACCCGTCACAACTATGTCAGAAACCACTGAGTCCAATGGCCGTCATCTACGATCGACTACCACGCCTCATTTCAAGTCGACAACACCAGGTGAGTGAGTTCATTATTCACTCAATATTCGCCCTCTCCACTCCTATCAATCCACCAGCCCAGTGTTCATAATCTATGCAGTATTGTGCGTCAACCACCATCCACTTTACTCGGCCTACTACACAAACAAACACAAAAGCCTACAAACGAACAGACAAACAACACCGATAATCATAACCAAATAATTAACCAACTCACCAGACAACTAGCAATGACAGCCAACTCAAATTCACGCAAACACTGCGAAATCGCTGAATTCAAATGATGAAAATGCTCGCGGAGACACACTTGAACCGACACAATACACCACATCACAACACACGGCCACACAAAACACAACAACCCAACAATGCACAAAACAACACAATATAACACATTCACTGAAAATCCTCAGTCAACATCACTCATCATTCAGCCGTGATAATGTTGCTAACCCCTTCCACCAATTGTACATCACCCACATCAATATGTTCTCCTCTACCAGTCTGTATCTCCCTTTTTTCTGTCTCACTGCTTCACTCTCTCTCCCTCTCTCCCTCCACAGAAACGCAACCCGTCACAACTATGTCAGAAACCACTGAGTCCAATGGCCGTCATCTACGATCGACTACCACGCCTCATTTCAAGTCGACAACACCAGGTGAGTGAGTTCATTATTCACTCAATATTCGCCCTCTCCACTCCTATCAATCCACCAGCCCAGTGTTCATAATCTATGCAGTATTGTGCGTCAACCACCATCCACTTTACTCGGCCTACTACACAAACAAACACAAAAGCCTACAAACGAACAGACAAACAACACCGATAATCATAACCAAATAATTAACCAACTCACCAGACAACTAGCAATGACAGCCAACTCAAATTCACGCAAACACTGCGAAATCGCTGAATTCAAATGATGAAAATGCTCGCGGAGACACACTTGAACCGACACAATACACCACATCACAACACACGGCCACACAAAACACAACAACCCAACAATGCACAAAACAACACAATATAACACATTCACTGAAAATCCTCAGTCAACATCACTCATCATTCAGCCGTGATAATGTTGCTAACCCCTTCCACCAATTGTACATCACCCACATCAATATGTTCTCCTCTACCAGTCTGTATCTCCCTTTTTTGTGTCTCACTGCTTCACTCTCTCTCCCTCTCTCCCTCCACAGAAACGCAACCCGTCACAACTATGTCAGAAACCACTGAGTCCAATGGCCGTCATCTACGATCGACTACCACGCCTCATTTCAAGTCGACAACACCAGGTGAGTGAGTTCATTATTCACTCAATATTCGCCCTCTCCACTCCTATCAATCCACCAGCCCAGTGTTCATAATCTATGCAGTATTGTGCGTCAACCACCATCCACTTTACTCGGCCTACTACACAAACAAACACAAAAGCCTACAAACGAACAGACAAACAACACCGATAATCATAACCAAATAATTAACCAACTCACCAGACAACTAGCAATGACAGCCAACTCAAATTCACGCAAACACTGCGAAATCGCTGAATTCAAATGATGAAAATGCTCGCGGAGACACACTTGAACCGACACAATACACCACATCACAACACACGGCCACACAAAACACAACAACCCAACAATGCACAAAACAACACAATATAACACATTCACTGAAAATCCTCAGTCAACATCACTCATCATTCAGCCGTGATAATGTTGCTAACCCCTTCCACCAATTGTACATCACCCACATCAATATGTTCTCCTCTACCAGTCTGTATCTCCCTTTTTTCTGTCTCACTGCTTCACTCTCTCTCCCTCTCTCCCTCCACAGAAACGCAACCCGTCACAACTATGTCAGAAACCACTGAGTCCAATGGCCATCATCTACGATCGACTACCACGCCTCATTTCAAGTCGACAACACCAGGTGAGTGAGTTCATTATTCACTCAATATTCGCCCTCTCCACTCCTATCAATCCACCAGCCCAGTGTTCATAATCTATGGATTATTATGCTTCAACCCCACTCTGTTTTTCTCGGCCTTGCTTCTTTGCAAGCATATATTTTTTCCCCATTATATTATTTGGTTTTTTTGGAACTTTGTGATTTCTCATATGTCACTTTTTTGGTTTCGTTTTTTTTTCTTGTTATTCCTTGACTTCCGTTTTTATCGTATTTTATCTGTTGAAATTGTGATTAATTTTGTATGCTGTGTTTTGTTTTCTTATCTATCTATGTTTTGACTTCGATGTTATCAAATATCTCTGTTTTTTCTGATCGTTGTAATCTTTGCAGTATCTAAATTTTGTCTCTGGTATTTTGAATTTTAACAGCATACTTCGCATACACTTTTTGAATGGTGGCTAGCAGTGGAATCCAGGATGCGCATTTCATGCTATTTTGGACTCATCATCTTGATGTACCTGCGTTTCTCAGTGAGTGGTGGTGTTCCCATCTTGAGTCGAACCCAGTGCCCATTCTTCGCATACTTCACAGCCTAAATGAGACTTCTTTTGCTTCACATGCCTCACTCACTCTTTAACTGACTCTCTCATAGGCACTCTGAATCATTTAGTGACAATATCTGATTTTGTGAATTGTTTCATTCCATCTGTTATCCAGAGAAATCTTTTCTTTTTCGATCAGCGTGTAATTGAGTGGTGCAGTATAGGGTCAGTGTGCGTGAAGGTGCTTCAGAATAGCCAACTGCTGTTGCGGTAAGCTCTCTTCCTGGTACGGGTTCTCAATTTATTTCATTTATTGAGACTTACCAATTGGCCCAGTGTCCTACATTATTTAAATATTCCATTGATATGTACCCACATGATGTGTGTTTGTTTTTGACAGTCTATTATATTTTGCTATGTGTATATGGATCGATATTCCATTATAACTGACATTATGCTTTTGTCTGTCCACTAACTAAATAAACAATGTATGATCTTGTTATCACATGACATTACAATCAATCATGGTAAGACGTTGTCTTATTTGTACATAACATAATTGGCGACGGGGAAAACTCTAATAAATCACTCAGCAGCAGTACATAACAACCACATGATCTGGGTCGGTTTAATCTAAAATTCTAAACGGTTAGTTATCATCATTAAATAGATTTATCTCGTTGTATAATATTCACACCTATTTCTCGTTGAGAATGAACGATTTGATTTACAACTCAAAACTCACTTTTCTCTTATTTGTTGTGAATGTTCTGTAGAAGCTTTTTTTGATTCTTCATGTAATGTTGTTACGCACGGAGACGTGTAAGATGTTGAGACTGAGCCTACTTTTCTGTTGGTTGAAGTAAACGTTGGTATTTTTAATAGCACGTAATGTGTTGCCGATAAAACTAAAGTATAGAATAATTCATCAAGTTATATTTTCCTTCAAGTCCTTGAAAAGCCCACTGGCAGTTAGGAAGTCACCTAGAAATATGATTAAGTGCGTTTTGAGAATCCAGTACACAAATGGTTGGCTAAGACAATAAGAATTAGACAAAGTAAGATGCGTTGTGTTCAGTAGAATTTCATGCAAGCCAGTGATTCATGCGAGCCACCACATTTGAAGTCTATTAATTGCGCTCATCTATGGGCATTTTCCTTTTTAATATTTATTTATTTATTATTATCTGGCGTTCCGAGTGGAACATAGTGCTTCAACAAAACATCTCCACTTTGTTCTGTTTTCTACCGTCTTCTTTAGTTGGGCCCACGTTTAACCGAACTCTCTCATCTATCTCCCTTACGATCTATTCCGTGTCACCCTTATACTGACGACCCACTCGTCGCTTTCTACTTGGATTCCACCCGAAGGACTGATGTGCGATGTCTATAGGTGGCTTTCTTAATGTGCAGCTTATCCATCTTCACCTTCTCCTACATATTTGTTTAACGATCAGTTCTTGGTTGGTTTGTTCCCAGAGTTAAGTGTTGCTTATTATTTCTGACCATTTGATTTGCAGTCCGGAGCCAGTGAATGCAGCCGTTTATGAAAGTCTGAAGCCTGTTGGAAATCCTTTTCGTTATACTCAGTGAAATGTTTTGACACCTAGACAAGCAATGATCAACTCCACATTGACGTCGAAAGCGCGAGTCTTGTTCCTTATGGTGAGTACGGAAGATTTCCAAACTAGGTTCAGGTTGATGAAGGAATATCTTGCTTTTTCGATTCTGGCTTTGATATCTTCGTCCGTTCCAAATGAAACGATGCTTACTAGATAAGTAAAGGAGGCAACCCCTGTTAAATCTCACCTATTGATGGTGATTGGTACTTGTTTTTGGTTTTACTGCTGTTCGTTGATTATCTTTATAACCCCCGTCTTCTCTGTATTCACATGCAGTCCTGTTTCCGCTGCCTGACACTTATGCCAGTTTGTTGGTTTTCGCTTGCAAGTCTTCGAGTTTGTCTGAGAGTAAACATAAATCATCCGCGCGAGAAATCCAGATCTTCTAGAGTCTTCTCATCGGTAGACCAACGTATTCCCGACTTCTCTTCCTCAGCAGTCTGACGCATGATCCAGTCCATCACAATTAAGAATATCATCAGTGATAATAGGCAGGCAGCCTTTGGATGCCTCGCTGAGTTTTTGTTGTGAATCACTTGACACTTGGCATTGTCCTTAACCAAGCTGTTGAATGAGTCTGACAAAGACCTAAGCTACGTCATAGTGTTGAAGTAGTTTGAAATTGCTTCTCTTCTTTCAATCATCAGGCACTTTTACTTCTTTCCACACTTTTTGCAGTAACATTTGTCGTAATCTCTGGAGCCCTCTTCAGTGCTTCAGGAGGAATTCCGTATGATCCTGCTGCTTTCACGAACTTCAGTAGCTGATCGCATTCAGGATTGGTGATTTTGTTGAAGGAGTGGTGTACAACGATGGGCAGTTCTGTGCGTGCTGTCAGTGGCTGTGGTATTTCCTGGCGAGTGTCCGGTGGGGGTTGATTCAAGAGTCCTTTAAACTGAGTAGCGTATTGTTTGATTTGTTCCTGCTCCTTGATGATCAGGTTCCCTTGAGCATCTCTTGTTAGTTTCAATATCTGTGTTGATCTCTTCCCGGATCGCGACTTCGTTATCTGATATAGTGCCCTGATGTCTCTTTTGCCTCCGGCCTGCTAGTTCTGCTTCAGTTACCAGTGCGCCGTATAATTGTCGTCTGTCTTTTCTAGCACTCTTCTCCACTTCTTCATTCAGTGAACTGTACGTTGCTGTGAACTGAGCTTCTTTGAACTGAGTTATCTTCTCTTTCACCACCCTCCTCTCCTTGATAAGCTTCTAGGTATCCGCCTACAACCATTCCTTCTCTTATCTCTTCCTTCTTCTTAGGACATTTGTATACGTTTCCTTTAATATAGCTTTCATAGAGTACCAATGTTCTTGTGCACAGGTTTCCTTAGTGATGCCACACAGTGTGTCCGACTTTTCTCTGTTCTGCTTTCATCGAGAGAATACAAATCGGATGGCCGAATGATTCATTGAAGGCTGACTTTCACCAGCCCGCCTACTTTCAGCTCTCCGATTTGGACAAAGTTTAGGATGTTTACTTCAAGTTTTTGTGTTTCTAAATATATTTCCCTAGGTTTTAGTTTCACTAGTGGTTTCAAATATTTAGTGGTGTGGGGTTGCCAGCCCCACGCTCAACCATACCTGTTCACCTGGGCCTAGGACTGCCTAGAAATCAAGTTTATACTAACTTGATTTATCATTCAATGCAACTTTTATATGTTAATGATTGGTGTGCTTTTGCTCAACAGAAACTATTTGAATCTCATTTGAGTCATTGTCTTCCATTTTATTTTCAGATGGTGAAATTACTTACTGTAAGAATTTGCCACAGTTTGTTAGTGCGATGTTCTCTTTCATGCAATAGACTTTTTACTGACAGACTATTAATAGCTATTGGAGACGGTTTTCTGTAATATCTCCGTTATGCTTTACAAAAAGTATGTTTGATCTTAATTGGCGCAGAGGAATGTTAGCTGGATTTCCAATCCGCCTTTCGTTTTCCAGCATGATTTTGATCCATCTGTTGTTGAGTTTTCGTTCACGGTATCCTGTGAGGTATGCCAGATCTTCTGATGGTGGTGGTAACAGGCCTTAGTTTACAATGGACTTTGGCGGTAGATTTTCTGCGTTTGGGTTAATACTCGTTGTAAAAACATTTTGATGTTTTTAACTGATTGTCTATTGTTAATATGGAGCTTCGATTTCCATCGAACTGTAGGATAAATTGTTAAAATTGCAGCATACAGAATATCACTTACGCAGGACGACATCTTTCGGCTGTAGGAAAATCAATGCCACAATGAATATTTTCAGTGGTGTAGGTATCTTTTCACAAAATTGAGGATGGGTGTCACACCATTGTTCAGGGTCGCGCCAAATCACAAATCGGTAGGACTCAGAATTCATGAGCCACTTAATAGAGTCCCAGTGGCTGAATGGTATACCAGCTTGCCTTGTAGCCGGAAGGTCCTAGGGTCGAATCACAGTGGGTGCGTACTGATGATGATTCCCAAACTAGGATGAAACAGTTATCCGGTACTCCCTGCTTTTCAATGGTTCTTTAACTGACATCCATCCGTGATCAACTCGTAAAAACATAATTAACCCTTACAAATCAAACTATAAAAAAATGAATAAGCAAGAACGCTTTTACTTCGCAGTAGTAGAAGGCATCGTACGTTTGATTAGATTGATTTTGTTGTTAGTTTGTGGACCTCAGAAACAGTTGAATAAGTCAATTATTTTTTTATTTATTTACAAGAGAATTTCATTTGTGTGTGTTTATTTGACTTAGTAAACGAAGGGTTAATTAAATAGCTCGAGAGAAATATTTTTGTCTATTTCAGATAATCGAAGTTATGCACTAAACGCATACGCAGATTCATACCGTGAGGTTGTGGATTATAAATGTATGTGATTATTTCACCTGAAATCATTATATGTTTGTCTGTTAACTTCAGACTGTTCTGTAACGATCAGTATTCACATTATCTTACTTACGGCTAATCAACGAATTCAATCCTTGATAACACTGAGTAGCTTTTAAAAATGTCTTCTACAACTCCACATCGCTGTGTAAATTCTGAGAGAGAGATTTCTGATGTCAGCAGATGTATGTATTTTCACCCAATTGTATTAACTTGCAAATCAATATATTGAAGTAGAGCAGGAAACGGGTGTTTCGAACTGAGTGATATTGCTCCATCTATTCAAGGAAACGTTACAAACTTCAAGATAAAATTGTGCATGAATGTGCATATTACAGACTGAGATGAGCTGAATAGCATTTGCAGAGATATTTTTGATGAGGCTAAAAGGCCTAATCCCTTGACAGTGGTAAGCAGTGTATTGTGCGATAAATATTTACATTAATCCGGCGGTGCGTCAATAATGCACGGAAGACAAGCACACTACATGAATAATTCGTCGCTTAAAAATAGAAAGCATGATTTCATGTTGCCTGCAGGTCTACATTTAATCTGTCAGAATTTCTATACAAGCAGTTATTAATCCGCATACTTCATATTTATTTCCACCTGCCTGTTTGTTTTAGTTCGCATGCTTGAAATTCAGACTTACAAAGGTCCCCGGAATTTCGAAGAAATAATAAAACCTGGTAAGTAATTACGTCATCTAACTTACTAACTCAATCTTAATTTAGTTGCTGTCCAATTAACTTTGTTTCTATATTAGATCACTCTTTTATTACCTGATCAATTATCTAATTTTGACAAACCTCATGTACACACACACACTCAAATAATTATATAAATGCGATTGTACAGCTATGTGAATGAATTCGCCGAAAAGAGTCTCTTCGCTGAACGTCTTCTCTTTTTCGTAAGTAATTTTATCAAGATCTCCATATGGCTGCCTGTAAATAACAGTGAACGAATTATTCCCATGTTCATTCCTACGAAAAGACGTAAACAGCGAAGACAAATTTCTTTTCAACGATTCGTTTTCGAAAGCTATGCAATCGTTACTATATTTAACGAAAAAATCATAAGACCAATGGCATACTGGTAAAATTGATCTCCTTCTAGGTTACACCACGTATTAGTTTTATTCGAGGTCAAATGATATCAGTTTCCTGTCGGTCCTATGATATCCTCGTTTAATATAATTACAGCTTATGAAAGGAGTCGTTGAAAAGAAATTTCCCAGCTTTTTACGTCTTTTTCATATAGATATCAGCCATAAATATATGGTCAGGTCTTTCTTCTATCAATAGGTTATGTTATATTTCATGCATTCTAATGAATCAAAGATGCACCATTGTGGTCCTATTTAGGGTGACTAAGTATCTCGTGCGTTCTTTATTATGTGATCAAGATGAAATTTAACTCTTGGTCTATGCGTGATAACATCTATGGTATCAGAACAACGCTGACTGATTCTAATGGTTGAAATAACATCTGTCTAGGTTGTGACATGAAACATTGTGCATCGCCCACCTTCCTAGCTTTACTTGTGAGCTAACTGCCATCTCTGTCTGGTGATTTAAAGCACATCACTGAAACCCATGAATTCGCATTCAGATGTTGCTATTTGGTGTCGTGTGAACTATCACCTCCAGTTGTCTATATAATTCTTCCCTCCACCCATGGTCCAAGTGCCTTGTAGAAGCACGGCACTGTGTGTTGTGTGTCTGTGAGTGGATGAACCATAAGCTAAATAGAGCGTCAAAACAAGGAAACAACGTGGATCTTTTTCTCAAGAGAAAGTAGGACACTGAAGTGTCACCACAATCTGCAAGAAGAAATCATTGAACTTTTTTTATCATCTTTAATTCAAATAAAGCAAGAAAAACTGTTGTTGCAGAATCAAGAGGTACCATAGTTTATTTCTTTGACTGAGGAATATATGCAGCTGATGAGAAGTCAACGAAATAAATGATGATACCATTTGATTTTGCGAAAACTGTTGTTCATCCTTTATTTATACATTATTATTATTATTGCTCTCTTGGGTTCCTAGTGGAACATAGGGCTTCAACTGCACGTCTCCACTTGCTTCTGTCTTCTGCTGTACTTTTCATCTGCACCTATGTTAGTCCATACTCTTTCAACTCCTCTTCATACGATCTCCTCCATATAACCCCTGCACTGAGGTCCCACTCGCCACTTACCTTTCGGGTTCCACTAGAGCAATGGCCTGACGCGAGATGTCACCCACCGGTCCCCTCAGCGAGTGTCCGATCCATCTCCACTTTCTCCTACATATTTGTTGGGCGATTGGTTCTTGTTTTGTTTGTTCCCATAGTTCTTTGTTGGTGATTCTTTCCGGCCATCTGATCTTCAGTACAGAGCAAAGAAAGTTGTTGGTTGAGAAAGGTCTGCAACAGACTGTTGGAAATATTCTTTTTCTCCCGTCAAGTTTCTGATCCGTATAGAAGAGCTGACTGACTTGATATTTGTATTGAAAATCCGACTGAATTTTGTTGTTGATGCTGAGTGACGAAGATTTCCAGATTGGTTTCAGGTTGGTGAATGTGTTTCTCGTCTTCCCGATTCTCGAATTGACATGCTCGTCCGTTCCGACTACCTGTAGTTGAGACAATGCTCCCTAGATAAGTGAATGGAGTAACCTTTTTCAAATCCCTCCCGTTGATGGTGATTGAAGCTGGATGTTGCTGATGTTCTTGTTGGTTGGTTATTTTCATCACCTCCGTCTTGCCTATGTTCACTTGGAGTCCTGTCTTCGCTGGCTGCTTCTTCTACCAGTTTGTCGGTTTTCGCTTTTAAGTCTTCGATTTTGTGTGACATCATTGGTGATAATAAGCACCCTTGTCTGACTCCTGTGTTTACTCCAAATGCCTCGCTGAGTTTTACCTTGTGGATCACGGGACATGTGCCGTTGTTGTACAGCCGCTTTTCCAGCTTTCAGAAGCCTGATTGCATTGAAGACTTCAGCTCTCGTTGGAGGATTGATGTCAACCTGCAGTTGTGTGCGCGCTGTTATTAGTATTTCTGGACGGGTTGCAGGTGATGGTCGGTTCAAGAGTCCTTTGAAGTAATCCGCCCATTATTTAATCCGTCTTTCTTCCTTGGTAATTGAGTTCCCTTGGCTGTCTTTTATATGTTTCACTTGTGTTGATTTCTTCACGGATAGAGATTTGGTTATCTGATATAATGTCCTCAGCTCTCTTTTGCCTGCCGCCTTCTCAGCTTCAGTGGCCAGGTTGTCGTAGAATCCTCTTTTGTCCTTCCTAGCACTTTTCTTTACTTCTTTGTCCAGTGCTTTGTAAGTTGAGCTCATCGTCTCCTTCTCCTGTCCGTCCTTGCATTGAATCATTTTCTCTTTCACCATTCTTCTCTCTTCTATTAGTTTCCAGGTGTCCTTTGAGAGTTATTACTTGTCTTGTCTCTTCTTTCTTCCTAGAACCGTTGGAAACGTTTCATTGAGAATCGCCTTCAGAGACTTCCAATGTTCTTTCACGCATGATTCTTCAGTGATGTCACGTAGTGTTCCCTGCTTTGCTTTGACAGTTGCAGTGAAAGTGTCTTTTTTGGTTGTCTCCTTCAGTTTTTGAGTGTTGAGCTTGCATTGTGGCCTATCCTCAGCTATCCTCGAGGCTTTTGGCTTCGCCTTGAAAGTCCCTTGTACTAGATAGTGGTCTGAACCTACATCTGCTCCTCTCCTCGAACTTGTGTCGAGTAAGCTCCGTCTCCACTTTCTTGAAATTGAGATGAAGTCTTTTTGGTTCCTGCTGTTTCCATCTGGTGAAATCCATGTCGTCTTGTGTATATCCTTGTGTTCGAAAACGCCTCCACCAATCACCAAATTATTGAAGGCAAAGAGGTCTGAGAAGAGTTCACCATTGTCGTTCATTTCACCGAGGGCCTCACGACCCATGGTGAGTTCTCTTCCTGTGTTGTCTCCTTCCAGCTTCGCATTCATGTCACCCATCAGGATTTTGATATCGCCATTCGGGACGTTGTCCATTACTGTTTGTAATCGCCCGTAGAACACCTCCTTCTTCTCTTGTTATGAGACGTTAGTAGGCGCATAGCATTGAATGACTGTAACTTTCATTCCTTCCTTTTCAGTTGAACCTGGCTGTCATTATCCTGGAGAAGATTGATTCCCACTACATGAGAGCTTTGGCTGCCGTTGGTGACATCATGGTGGCCACTCCCTCGGTGTGCTCGTGGTTGTCCTCTGGGTGGCCGGAATAGACTGTTGTCTCTTCAGTTGGTAGTTCGTACCATCCAGCTCCATTCCATCTGCTTTCGCAGATTCCCAATACTTCTATTCTTTACCTTCTCATTTCAGCGGCTATCTGGACAGCCTTTCCCAGTTTCTTACATTTTAAGAATATTCCACGTACCCATCCTTACTTTTGCTTTCATCGAAAGAAGGCACATCAGCTGACTGGCTTCCCGAAGGCTTTCACCAGCCTGCGTCATTTCTCTTCCCCGATTCCAGCGAAAAATAAGGCTAATGTTTATATTGCTAGAATTTTCAATATATTTATTCGTTAAAGTTTCTGTAGCGATTTGGTTGTCTTACGGGGTGTAGTTGCTAGCACCACGCCGCAACCCTCCCTCTTTACCCGGGCTTGGGACCGGCTAGAAAACTAGAAAGCTAGTAGCTTATCAACCAAGTAATCTTGCGAGGTTCATACATGGTTAAGAAATAATGCATGATTACGAAAATGCAGTCGTAGCAAACTCAGAAGTGAAAGTATACACAGTTCTGTGTTTTATCTCGAGCAAACAAATTGAAATGAATCATTGGAAAATGAATGAACAAAGTATTAGATAAATGCGTAGAACGATATTTCAGTTTATGAATTTTAAATTGGATATGCATTGGTTTACAATACTCCTGGTTCATTCTGTTAAACCTCATATATTCCTGTCCCCGATTCTTCAATAACTTTACCAACAGCCAGCCCTTCTGTGCATGATGTATACCCTAAAAATTGCAGTGATTTGACAGTAAGGGTTAGTTATGTTTTTACAAGTTGACCACGGATTGATATCAGTTAGAGAGCTACCGAAAAGTAGGGTGTACTGGACACCTGTTTCATCCTAGTTTTGAAATCATCGGCAGTATTCTTCCATCGTCAATTGGCCGATGACTTCATCTACTTGTGGCTTGAAGCTGGATATGCCTAGACAACGCAGTTATAAACTAGACAGACATAAGTGTGTTGTTGACTGTTCAAGGTTACTCACAGTGCATAACACAACCAATGCATGTTGTTCTCGGACATCTTCAACATGCTAGGACAAGAAAATAACTGGTAAGCGTTCTGTTTACTTGTACAGGAGAAAATGCAAAACTGCAAGGGTTAAGGGCTAATGGAAAATAATATAAATATATGCACAGCATCATTTCGCTAGTAAAATTTCTCTCAGCAAATAACCTGTTTCAACCAAAATTATGGCATTCACTAATTTCGTGATTTTTCACTTTAAACAGAAATCCTTAGACTTGAGCACTTATATCAAAGTAAATGGGCGAAGGAATTTCTCGAATGTAAGTCCTGTCGTTCATGTTCTTGATTCTTTGATGCTCCTGAAATGAACTTAGTGTTGATTTGAGACATGAATTTTCACTGAAGGAAAATATGCTAGATTGTGAATTGAAATGAATTTCATTGTCATTAGAGATGACCAAACAATTCAACTAGTGCACAAAACTATTGTTTAATAGAGTGTTCTCTAGATTTCAGTAGCATGGAAAGTTCTTTCAACAAATAGTCTGCAAAATATTTATGGAGAGAATCCGACTTAGGGAATGAATTTCATATGGACATTTGGCAAAGTGTTCCAGTACACATCTTTCCAATAGGCAAAGAATTAAATACTGAATTCCAGCATTAAAGGTGACTGCGTCGAGGCATATGTAGAATTAGTGCCGTAAATTAACCTTTAAATATTTTTTTCAATGCAGAAAAAATAAATTCAGACGGATAAGTTATGTAACGCCTCGAATAAGTCGCTATGCACTTAGTATAGAATCAAATAGCTTCTGTTCAAGCTTTGTCTTTTTGTACTTTTCACGTCTGACAAACACTTAGTATGCGTTTCCTGTTTTAGTACTGTCCTCTTCTTATCATACTTCTGAGTAAAAGTAAACAATTTCTCTAAATTATCTACTTTTTGCAGCAACTGGTGCAGGGGATGAGAAGCTCGTGAATTCTTATATTGGTAGGTTATTCCATCCTAAAGTAATTGAGAGAGTGAATGAAACAAAATTATTTGTTATCTGAAGACAAAAGTACCTTGTTACTTTTTGCGAAATGAACATGGGTTTGCGATCATTTGGTGTGGCAGATGTCACTATAATTGACTATCCTCCTTTTTATTTGACAACGCTAACAAATTAAGCCGTCACCGCTCATCTATAGGAATGCAGTAAAGTGCAGTTAATGAAGTATTTTAAAATTTCTCGTCAATTCAATCACGAGTGACGTGGTATTCAGTAGTGAAACAATTTCCCTACTATCTACTTTCTCAACAATGTCCTCTTCAACATCAGCTTGTTCGATACATACAGGATACAATGAAACAGCATGTATCATTGATAGCATTCCGAATACAGTTTACAGTCCATATATATCTCAAGTTAATTTTTACGACTTGGAAACTCTGGTTATATAATTGTATTTAATTTTCATCAAATGTCGAGTTGTTGAGTAAATCCACAGTTATTGAGCTATATCATAAAATTACTACTGTTATTGGTTCTCAGGCTTCCTAGGTGATAAATCAAGCTGCTCAACGCCAACAATATTTCGAATGGTTCAGTCCAGAACAACACCGTTCGAATACCATAAGTGATATTTGACGGCCTTGTCTTAACCTAAATGATTCCTATGAACTTTCCGCTGTAAGGTGTTTCGCAAGTGAAATATTCTTATGTCTGTTGGATGAGTTGCATCAGAGTATACAGCACTTAGCAGTGTTGAGAATGCAAAGAAGTTACTTCATCGTCAAATTCTCGAAAATTCCATGAGGATGGGGTAAACAGTTGACTGTCATTCTAGCCTACGTTTGATGATGATTTGCAGTTGTACAGTGAGATTCGTTCACGATTTGTCTATCTTCAACCAAAACCGTTCTCAGCGGCGACATTCATCCACGATATCTGCTGAGAGAGGTGTGCCTAACTATTCTATTTAGAAATGACTGTCCCATTGTTACGAAAATATAATAATGTACGTAATTTAATCTGATTATAAATGAACTTAATCCAGAAATATACGCTGCAGATTTTCAGCTTTTTGAGTAAATAAATATCCATCAAACAATGCCTCCTTTCTCTATAGATGAATACAGGAAGGCATTGGAAGAAGATACAGCTTTTGATTACAAAGTCCTTGGTATGGTTGATTTTTTAATTGAAAGTTGTAATACTACTTAATCTAAAATTCATCGGTTCGCTGAAATTAGGCGACCAGTTCTGTGAAGAATGTACATAAGATTTTGAACTGGTGTTTTGTAGAAATTCATCATTTTGATTTGAAATCATACTTACTTTTTAACCATGTCAATCGCACTTCTCTAACAAAACACTGTAGAGCGAAATTAATTGAGGATTTATCTGATCACCGTCAGGACATTTCTCACCAAAGTAGACCACTCTCTTATTTGTTCCTTATATTGATTTCTTACTAAGATCCATTGTTCCAGTGACATTCAGAAGATACCCATCTTATTCACCTACTTACTGATGACATTATCAACTCAACTGATGACAATTTTTATTGTTTGTATGTAGTTAGTCAAACTGGTTCCTACACTTCTACAGAAAACTTATCACATTCGCAGTGCGTTTTGCATGGCTTAGGTGAATTCATTGTTTGGAACTTGATATTATGATGTAATCTGTCGGATGCCTAAAATTGAGTCATCCCAAGACATCTAGATAAATTACCACAGTCATCATGTTTGAGGAACATTCCACAGCTCAGATAATCATGTAATATTCATGTTACAAACCTTATGTGTAGTCATTGCCCCTAGTGATTTTTCATTTATTCCTTCAGCTAATAAACAATTATACAATCTGACGAAAACGCATATATCGAAGAAATGGAAAAATCGAAAAGATCTCAATATTGCAGAAGGTAAAAATTTTATGATTCCATTATTTAGAAAGGTATTTGGGTATTTTATACATATATATTTATATATTTTATATAGAAAGTAAATATAATTCTTCAGTGATCAGGCGAAGTGCGTAAAGCCACAGAAAACTTCTCATTTTTACATAAGACTTATCAAAACACATCGGAAAGGTGATATTTCCTCTTGAACATCACAACCATGGTTGTGAATTGAGACTCAGAGGGAAAGAAATCGTGATACATCATTTACTCATAACCTTAAATTAAATCCCACTTGAATTTTTGGCTTTGCAAGAGAAAACGACATTCAGTTGAAGCCTTTTGATTATTTCATTGGTTCCCCACGCTGATGAATGTTCACAGTCTTGAATTTCCGCAATTTTATCATCAGCGCCGATATTCACACTTGATATAGAATAATGAGAATATCTTTGCGTAAACGAATCATCGAAATAACGGATAGTAGTCCTGGGAATAAGCCATAATAGGCAAATGCAAAACATATATATTTACTTCCTTATATTTTGTCATTAGAATCACTCGAAAACCGACTACTTCCTATCAGTGTGTGAGTGAGAGTATACTAACGGTCTGGTAGCACTTCGCATAAAGCTTTACACTCAGTAAGGAATTTGAATGTGCTGGTGTTATTTGAACTAACGGGAGCCGAATCCATCTTTAAATAAACTGATTCTGAAATATTTGGTTTTCATCGTATATCTGGAAGTTGAATGACGGTTTGGTATATCGATTGCAGGTATTTTTTTTGCGGAGACATCAGACAGTTTGAAGAATGACGAAGGTTGGTTTTTTCTTTCTGAAATTCATTTTTTGTAGCTCATGAAATGTGCTGAACTGTCTTCTAATTTTGTTGATAGTGGTTTCTCTGAAGTAATTGATATGCATATTCACAGTTACACTGAAATTCGATGATATTTATGACAATCACATACAGCAGCTAGTTGATTGTTCGACTCAATTCTCCAGTTATTTAAATATGTGGAAATGCTGTCTTCATGCATCTGAATTCATTATGCATCAGCATATGTATTAATGACAGAGGTGGATTTCGATAGGAACTCTATTTAGAGATAGATGAGTAATATATGATGAATATTATGACAATGAACACTGTTTTTCACCATTTTCTCACCAACAATTACAAAGTGGTTTTATTACTGTTTAGTGCGAAATATGTGTGTTTCAACTCCATGCCTTACATACTATGGTTTACCCAGAAATAAGGGACACTCAGTGAAGTATCAGTGTGACAGTAGAAGACGAAATATTTGTTAAAGGAACGTTTATTCGGAATTTGATTTATCTTCATAGCCAAATACACCTTATTTTCATATCACTATTCGCACAAATCTTCCGTGTCATGCTACTTCTCTACTTTATAATGCGTTTCTTTGTGTTCCTTTCGGGTTTCTCATGTTTCATCGTAACGCTGAATCATTTGCTCTCTATGAATTAAAATCCATCCCACTGCAATTTGATGGTTTTTTATTCTGATGAACGTTTCTTCATATTCTACTTATTAATCTTATCAGTAGCAAATATGTGATTCCCTAACATGCAGACAACCCTCAAAATGGAGCATGTTCTTATAAATACAATTTGTAACTTACGAAACCACTGACAAGATTACTTATTCAATTATTTGACAAACTACTGTATAAAATTTTAATATTCTGTGGAAACGATTATTGTTCTATAACGGAGAAAGCCAATTTAACATTGAAGATGGGCATAGATGCATTAGAAATACAGCTTACACCTAGTGAAGTCATTTGTGTTATTGATATCAGTAACTACTCAAAACACCATGCGGTAAGTTGGACATTATCAGCAGGATAGCCAGGTATTGGGACAGTCAGTAGCCACTGCGCTAATTTGATTATTTCACGCGGAAGAATGCACAATGAAACACTTCATACTTTTCGATATTGTGAAATTATAGTTCAAACTGAAATGATAAATAAGAATTTTATTGAAGCGAAGGAAGCAGTTAAAACATCCAAAGGTAAAAAGATTCTGTAAACTCATGTTGCACATTACGTTCGTAAACAATAAGCAGTAAGTATGAAAATTCACTAGTTCTCTTGTCCACAGTTAGTCGTTGAGTGACCTATACACTCATTAATAACAAACACATATGAACTAGGTTGTATTAGATATAGTTTTCACCACCAGTACAATCTTTTCAGAAATATACGGTAGGGCATTTTTACCACCAATGAGTCGTCACTCTTTTCGTGAGAAGTGGACTAATCTTTTGAAAACTAATATTTTCACTATGTGATTAGAAAGAGCGTGTTAAGGAATAATCAAATTAATATGACATGTCTTCGTATCGTCAATATATTGTATTCAGTTCGATGACAAATATGACAGTGCAGTTTCTTGATCAACGTTTTAAATATCATTCAACACTTCCTGTTTTTTAGCTAAGCTTAAAGTACTGGAAACAGCAGCAGTCAGAACAACTCATGAATACAGAGATACTTTAAGTGAGTGCATATATTCATCAAGTATAAATCAAAGTACAAAAAAGCTATGGCAAGCCTATTACGATTCACCATTTGTTGAATTTGGTGATGATTATGTGTGAAAAGCAGAAGCGTTTAATTAGTCATCAACACACAGACGTCTGACGAACACAATTTTTCACAACTATTCCATAATATTCACTCAGTTGTACAAATGACGTGGAGCCAAGATCGACTTCCACCTTGCTTTACATTGGAAAGCAGACAGAAGAGTAGACCAGGTGAAGATGATGTTGACTGTAGAAGTGGACTAGGTAATACTGTGAAAGAATTTAATTCAATGTGAGATTTGTTCAGTGAATATAACACATATTGTCACAGTATTTATAAATGGATGACGTTTCTAGGGAAAATGTTCTCTCATAATCATACCCCATGATTGTTTCATTGTTACTTAGATTTTTTCCGGAATCCCAAGAATAGAAGATATACAAGTGGTGAGCAAACAATTTTACCCTGCTTGAAGTTAAAAATGCATTCATCATCAAGCTCCATGCAGTTCATATTTGATTGAAAACAATGACACTTCTTCAGCACTTCATGTTTACCAGAGAATGACATCATAATTGGATCACCGTGAATACCTCAGTGACACAAATAACGAAAGTTTTGATCGTCAACAAGCCATCATTGAATGAACGAATATCAACACACATGACATTTTGTATTGACAGTAACTTGTTCCTGGAGAAGGTAACGAGGTCACACAAATCAGACGGCAATTAAAAGTAGGAATTTACTCACCAAAATGAAAATTCAAAGCGCGCGTATTACTTACATAAATCTCATTCTATACTGAATGCATTTGTATGAGGTATTTTCCTTCAATAATGACAAGTACGTTTGCAACGGTGAGTTTGATAACAAGTTATTATTCCTTTCAGACTACGAGTATGCCGCTAAAATTAAGGAATTGTATCAGAAGGCTCGTACTGATTTCGCCAGCGCCACAAGTAATTTTAAATGGTTATTTGGCTTGATCTCATGTGATATTTCATAGTTCTAGTGATGAATACACTTCTCAGGGAATTTCACTTTCGTAAGAGGCAAAAAAGCCTTTATGGCTAATGATGTGTATATTATCGAGTCATCGTATTCACTCACACCAAATTGGGCTGTATTATTGATAAAATCAGCAATATTACTTGTCACATTAATATAAAAATCTGCAAACTGTTGGACGGTAGGTGACAATTAAGTCTGAAATATCTATGCGCAAGAGCGTCACGTTTACTGCTCATAAAGAAACATGCGAAACTACTCCAGGAAATCTGTAGTGACTTCATCTATGCATCATGGAATAAATGTATGATACATTGAAACTACATGACTCACGTCATATCGTCATGATCAAGCATCATGAGATTTGAGCATTGTTTAATATTCTCACAGCATAAATTTGAAAATGCTACTGATACATCACTGACAATCTGTTCACTGTTTCAGAGGAACTACGCGACAATATAAAACTATTAGAAGAAATTAGGTTTGAATTCCTAAAGTGTAAGTTGAAATATTGAAATGATTTAGAACTACCTAGTTCAAACCCTAGAAGATGGAATAAACTGGCTCCTTGATGAAATGAAGGAAGATGCCAAGCAGTATTATTGAAGTGAGTTCCCACCTAGATCCTCAACGTATTTCAAATATTTAACTAACTGAACAATTGATTATGAATCAACCAGATGAATTCTTGAGAAACAAGTAACACTGAAATTCTATTCACTCTCACTTCTTGATTACTCATCAGTTTACAGGCATGTCATGATTGATCTTTTAGCTAACCTGCCACTTGACCACAGTCAGAGGCTGCACCAAATAAAACGGTTGTAACAACTGTCGAGAAGATCATACATTCAGATGGTACTTTGCACTGCTGATTCCTGTGAAGGGGATTGTCACTTGGAATCAACCAGATAATGTACACACTTAATCTCTGTTTCAATATTCACTGGAAGTACTGCCTGAGGACTAGTGTATTGGTCAGTTAATAAAACATTGTCGATAACAATTTTTTGCTGTACAAGATACGTGTCTATTTTTAACTCAGTTTCGCTCTGTTTCCGGTTTCATTTTGTTTCAGGTGCAGGAAAATGAATTCGATTCTAAGTGAATTCAGGCAGTATTGGTGAAGAGAATACATTGTTTGCTAAACTCTTTTTTTGCTTAATTAAATATAACATTTAACTTCGTAAGATCTTGTTTCAGCTGGCGTTTTCTGTCTTCCTCGTAGAGTGAGTTGTGTGAGAATGAAGTGAATCATTGCAACAAATTGGCTAACCACTACTGCAGAACTCGAAGATTATTGTTTTGACTGACGAAGTGTTTTGAGTATCTGAGAGGAAACGTCAATGAGGAGAGGTTTAATGATTTGTCAAAGAATATGAAGCATGTTTACGCATGAAGGAATCCCTTCTCCTCGATATTTTCAAGTTATTTGATACTCAAATTTCCAAGAAATACAATGGCAGAGCTGACTTGCTAATATCTAGCCAAGTGGGGACTGATGGTACGTGGGCTGGTTGTCTATAGGTTATTTCCTTAACAGCAGTGTACAACATAATATATTGAATGTATATCTTCAGTCGAATTATGCGTCATTCGAATGCTGCAAATTCATCATCCATGTTATGAAGTCATATCACGTTCTGAGAATGACGGAATTAAAAGCTTCAATTCCATGTGAATATGTTGACATTACGTTTTGAGAGCTCTAATTACCACGTAATTAAAATTCATTATTATTGGGATGTGTTCAAAATGACACTGAGTATCAATAAATTGTTCAAATCTCCCTGAATGTCATATAAACTTAAATATAGTCGAATCAAAGCAAATACAGTGAAATCCAGACTATGTTAACAACATTCTAAATTATGAACAAGCGTCAAAGAGTTGCCCATCGTTATACAGCCGAGATATATAGATGCCGCTTTCTGCAAAAGCGACATATAGAATCGACAACAAAATGGCTGACACATGAATGCGTTGAAAGGATTTCTAACTGTCAAACACGACTCTCGTCCCTGTTGGTCAAAATCGCAAAACACTTCGATACGAATATATTTGCAAAATCTGCCATGTCACAGGGTATTTTTCGACGAGTTCTTGCTTGTGTCTGTCTAGGCGTTTCTCTGTTTTTTTGTGTTTGAATGTGTGTTTGTGTCAGTGGCTTGGTGATCAATTTAGCGAATAAATGAATGAATGAATGAGTGAGTGTTAAGCGAATGATGATTGCAGGCACATGTGAATACGTCAACAAATATATACCTTCATAGTCAAGTGATTGCTGAATGCGTGCCTATCATCGAAATTAACATGACATTTCTCAGATGTCCTGAAGCACTGAGAGACATACAGTGATAGAGAAGATTATGCTCTGTAGTGATGTTTGATATTGACGTGTTCCTTGGTTATCCTGGTGATGTGGAAATGGTGTGCTTTTTTCTGAGTAGCTGTATTGCTGATTGTGTATGAATCGTATATATGTCATCACATGTCAGTGAATAATTATGCGGCACGGTGAATATAAGTCGGAAGTCACTTATTCAGTCAGTCTGGTAGTTAGACACTCACCACAAAGAAGGGGAACTCATGAGGAAAAAAGCCATTGACAAGGGTGGTCGAGTGACGATTTTCAGTGATGACTGAAGGTAGCATTTACTTCTGCCAGTCATTTTGTGACCATTCCACGATAGGGTTTTTAGTGTGATTATTCAAACAGTGATACAGTATTAATTAATTAATTACTGTGTGCTTGTATTATCGAATAAATTTCGGCTTCGTATGGTGGAATCCAGTTGTACTGCGCTACAATGTATGCATACGCTCTATTGTCCTCAAATGTACTATTGTGGTGACAGCAGGCTGCTTGCCAAATTGGTAGACATAATATTTACGTCAATTTTTACGTCCCAAATATTGGTTGTGAGAAAATATGAAAAGGACTGATTCAACAACCAATCACAGCAGATTTTGCGTAGGCAGATAAAGTTAACATATAGATGATCAAACATTCAAGAGACAGTCACAAAGAGAGGCAAGGTCAACTTTTTGTGAGAAACAACCAATCAGAAGAGTGTGTTTGTTTGCTTGAATAGGCCATGATAATGTACATGAAAATATATAAATACGTGTTGATTTCCTTAATAAACGATCTGTTGCCTGATTCTTGCCTTCTGTTGTTACACTTTGACTGCCTAACAGTTAATGTGATTTGAGACTTCATTAAATTCTGATACTTCACTGCCACTTCATGTTGACAGGGTGGTGCTGTGATCTATCAGACGGGAAAGCTAAGGTAATGGGAGAATTGATGACTTCACAGCTGAGGAGTAAACAAATAATGATGAATTAAAAATGATTTGTCGCAGATGCACTACTCAATTGATGAATGCCTACGTATGTCAGTCTCAGTGTTGATGCTTGTTCCTTACTTCTGTGATGCATGCATGGATGGATGGAAGAATATTAAATAAGATGAGATGACATGAGATGAGATTGGTGTCATTTCGTTGGTGTCTGTTTGGTGAAGGCGCTTAGTCAACTGACACAAACTACGCAAAATTGTGATAACACTGAGAATAGTGGATAGAGATTGTGACTGGAGAAATCCATTATTCATCACTGGTTGAGATTCAGGTCTCATGAAATTGTAGGAGTACTGTACTCCTATAAGATAAGAGCACATGCAACGGTCCAACACGTCTATCTGTCCAGTAATGAAAACTGATGACTAGCTCGCAAAATAGGACATGGAGAACGAAGAAAGAGAGAGAAAAGGAGTGTGTGTGTGAGAGAGAGAGACAGTGAAGCAATTATATAATTAGAAATGTCATGAAAGGGGGTGAGTGTGTGATCCAGTATGTGTTTGCATGTGTTTGCATGCGTGTGTACGGGCGTGTTTATGGTGTTGGAGATATTGAAGTGACCCATTTAATTATTCATCATCGTAATATACTTTCATTATGTAAATGTACTTTGATTCGTGTGTCACTCTAAAGATTGCTTGATAACAATTGATAAATTGTAGTCGTTCAACTTTCAAAATTCATTCGTGTTGGTTTGTAGGGATTTGATTGGTTTACAGGATTTCATCATCAGCTGACATTAGCTAGAGAACCATTGGAAAACCTGGGAGTACTGGACAGCTGTTTAGTCCTGGTTCGGGACTCTTCATCAGTACGCACCCACCTGGATTCGAACCCAGAACCTTCTCGTTACAAGGCGAGCTCGTATACCATTAAGCCACTGGGACCCGCTCCAATGACCAGCCCATGAATTCTAACTTATGCCAATTCACGATATAGCGCAAACGCTAGCCAGTGTCTTCGGCGAGTATTTGTCCTCACACCTAACCTGCTGCACACGTTCGTACTCCTGCTCTAGTGACTTTTGTTTTGCGTTTTGGATGTCAAGTGATCGTCACGTTAGGACACAATAATAAGTGCGAAGAAATACTAAGATATACATGTACACTGTATTATGGATAAGATTTTATTTTGATAAATCACGCAGTGTTGTACAGCAATATCAATACTGTACAATTGTGATTTATCAAAATAAAATCTTATCCATGATGGAGTTATACTCTACCACAATGACCAAGTTTTATACTTATACATGTACACTGTTTTGGCCAAATACATAAATACGACAATATCGTCTCCCCTATTTCATATGAGCTTCAACTGATGATGGGGTGAACGTTTTCTCATCACAGTGAGGTTGTTGAGGATAGAATTTACATGGGATCCTTTGGGAAGGTAGTCATAAAAAGAATAGTGCAAGCTTATTTACTTTCGTGTAGTTGACACATGCGTATCATGATTTTTTTTTAACGGAGATACAGTGAGGTAGAAATATAGAGACGGAAGGATAGAGAGTAAGACAGAGAGATAGTATATGTGTGTGTGCGTGGGTGAGAGAGATAATTGTGAGAGTTTCTAGCATTGTTGAAAAGTACACCAAGCCCTCGCTAGAAAGCAGCCCAACCTGATACGCTATTCCATCAACAACAACACACATCTTTAGCTACATTCATTTTCCTATTATCAACAACTAGGTTTCTCTAGAAGAGAAACCTAATGACCTGTAGGCGAATTGCCTAGCATTTTACTATCCTAAATGCGCCTCCTACCTTTCTACTCGGATGAATCAATCAACTTCAGAATGATGCTTATTCATCCATCGTCACCCCATGACATATGATGATGATGTATGCAGTATGTGAGTAAAGTGAGACATAAAGAGAGAAAGAAAGGTGATAATGTTCGAGGATTGTGCATAAGCGAATGTGTCTGTGAAGATGTTCAGAGTTTCATTCGACTAAATGAATGTGATAATATAATTTAGTTTCTTAGTAGTGTACTTTTGATGATACAGATTCATGCATAGGAGTGTTTTGAATTTTCGCTAGCTATCGAGTCAATTTTCTGCTGTCTTACTCTGCTTTTCTGGATTAAGGACCGATTTGTAAACTAATCATTGAAGAAAAAACTCAATCCTTTACACCTCTGTCAACTCAGTGCTTCTTTATACTTCAGAAAATTGGCGCGTCATGTGGTACTGATATTTATCAAAACGGCAGTTGCTTTTGATCACTGCTCATTGAGACATCTGTTGAGAACGCACACTAAACAAAAGAAGTTTGATATATAAGATTCGATAATAAATCAGTCTCCTGTCAATTAGCGATATATCCCTTGCCATGCTTCGCGACGGCTGACTTTTGTTTAATACTTCTTTACTTATTGTTCATGCTCTTATCCGGTCATTCTTTCGTTCATCATTTCTTCAGCCAGGTGTTATGTGATTTAGCTATTAACTTCTGTCACTCCACACCAAAAAGGTTTATTTTAATTACCACACAATGATGCATAATTAACAACTGTATTTGTGTTGTGAAATCTGGATCATTTTCGAATAATTAATAAACAATTATCTGATAAGGAAACCTCGCCTAGTTTTCTAGCTTGCTAGTTTTTTATACGTCACTTCCTTTACTTATTTGGGCTTGCACAGCGCACTGACTCGGTAGGCTGCACTAGATGAAATTAATTTTCCTGGAGGTCCTGACATGTCAGAAAGATTTTTAGGGTAGTGGTTAGATTAAAAGCAATCGTCACCAAAGTCTTAACATTTTTACACTATGCTATAGACAAAGTTGTACTGCTGGGGAATAAGAGGGAGTTCACAACGCATACTCTAATAACTGAAATATAAAACAAATGACTTCAATTCTCGAACAGTGTGAAATTAAACTACATAATAATCCAATCAGTCAAAAAGACAGACAGCTTTTACAATGATTAAAGTGAATATTTATCGGAATAATCTCTCAGAGTACAGCAGCAAATAAATCATGCCACTTTTCATGCGGTATTGATGCAGCACTGGAACAGATAAATATGAGAATTCGAAGCATTGATACACGTCCATCAATTTATAAATTGGAAGGCTCAAATTTAAGTGGATGTTTATCAGTTTATTACTGAGTAAAATGAACTGTAATCAAAGTAAAGAACTGAAGTGATTGTCGAATGAGTTCGCAAAAGAAAGGCTTCGTGGAACACAGGAGACTTAGAATTCAGACATGATTGTGTAATGGTGCTTAACATTCAGAAGCTTTCGTTAATAATTTTCAAGCAACTGTACTTTCATTTGTTTTAACTCAACGTTGAATTATCCCGATTATGTGGTTGGAAAAGGCGGATATAATATATGTAAATAGATTCAAAGTAAACTTTCACTATGCTGATGCAATTTCACAAAATTCAATTTCAAAGTTAATATCTAATGTTTCTAAAAGGAGTGAAAACTCCTACGATCTCAGTAACTTCTGTTTTCTGTCGTGTTCAACACATCATTGATCTAGTAAAGATTTATGCTACTCACATGAATCTACGATCATATAATGAGCTCATTCATTGATATCAAAATCGACATAAAACTCCAACTACTTTGTGGCTTGCAAAGATGATATAGTCTCATACATGGAAAGCACGAACATTTTGCAATTCAGACAAAACTTCAGAAATTATTGGCATCATCCCGAGCCCACGATTCCTTACAAGCAGTATCATGTCGGTTCACTGCAGTTCAAGTTGCTTACAATGAGCTATCAATCAACGATGGTAGTGTTAACTAGAAAAGTCCCCATAACTTCAATCACCATCAGGTGTGATATGAGTAAGGGTAAGATTCTGTATGGCTGGCGGAAAAGTGATACGCTTTTCATAGCAACTATTGATCTAGATAAGAAATATTTGGCTTTCCATCAAGACCTCTATGAGAATGTATGCAATTTTCCTTGAAATTGGTATAAATCGTATTTTGACGTTAGTCAATAACTGCGAACAATTTGAGCATAGAAGCAGAAGTGAAAATAATAACTGGTCTCCAGATGGCTTGATGCGCGGTGATTATCAACAAACTATTATTTTACGTAAACAAAATCAGGATAGTATGAGCTCATTTTTCATTATCTACCGGATTCTTCTCAACTCCCTACACCATACACAATTCAAACATGCAAATTACGAAAACGATTTCAGCTTTCACCTTTCCATACTGACGAGGAAATAATCAGCAGAACTATATGTGTATTGTGAATTTGAACTAAAGCATCTGGTTTATATAATGGGATTTAAGATGATCGACCATTTGTAAGATAATATACGATTCACTGGTTCCTTTCTTATCCCTTCAGGATTAATTCTCCTTCCTTACCCAATGCTACACTACTTAATACTAGTAAGTAGCATGAATATAATCCTACAATTCCGAAGTATTTGTCGTTAGCTGTTGACGTATAAAGTCCTTATCAAAATTATCAAAACACTTAGCTCTAATATTATGCCCCATTAGAAATCGTTCAAACTCTAGACTCACTAATTCATATGAGATGAAAAATAAACTAAACGACATTCAACTAGAGAATGATGAAAAAATGGCTAGTTTTGATATAACTAGTCTTTACACGAATATTCCGGTCAATATGGCCTTAGAAGCAGTTAAAAAAGAACTAACTGCGGATCATGAACTGAATCATAGGACAAAGCTGCCCACTGAACAAATTATGTTGGGGTTTCAGTTATGCCCCACATCTACTATCTTTAAGTTCCATGCAAAATATATAGACAAACAGAGGGTGTAGCGATTGGA